AGAACCTGAAGAAGAGCTGGCACCCCCAGACACTGCGCAATGTGGAGAAAGTGTGGAAAGCCGAGCAGAAACATGAGGCTGAGCGGAAGAAGATTGAGGAGCTGCAGCGGGAGCTGCAGGAGGAGCGAGCGCGGGAGGAGATGCAGCGATACGCTGAGGACATGGGCACCGTCAGGTGAGGGGGTGCTGGTGCCCACCAGATCAGCCCTTGATGTTGAGCACTGTCTGGTGAGGTGCTGTGGGTGCTCCTGGTGTCCATGGGTGCCGTGGGTTTAACATCTCTGATGCCTAAATGTTTCCACTCACCAACATCAGGCAGTGCCTTAAAATGCAACTTTAGAACTGTGAGAAGGAAAATAAGATGGTCTTGTTTGCAATAGGAAAAGAGAAGAAAAGTTGGAGTGGATGTACCAGGGTCCTGGAGGCATGGTGAACAGAGAGGAATATCTTATGGGTCGCCCTGTGGACAAGTACATCTTTGAGAAGACAGAAGACAAGGACGCGGGCTGTTCCAACGAGACAGGACTTCTCCCAGGCTCCATTTTTGCCAAGACAGGGGCCAATTCTGTCTTGGACATGGCGAACAAAATCCGAGAGGATCCACTTTTCATGATAAGGTACTAAAGCTGGAGCTGAAAGCAGTAGTAAATGGGGCAAAGCATCAGTATTAGCAACTTGCTAAGAGCAGTCTTATTTTTCTCTGTAAAGTCTGATACTGAGTCTGTCAAAGCCTTGTCTGCCTGTTGGTGAGCTCTAGGCTGTAGGCAGCAGAGATGTCACCAGCCGCTTCCATGACTAGTAGGATTTTGATTGTGTGTTCTAGACATAGCAACATAATGCCAAATAACATACTTGAGTCAGTTTGCTGCTTTTGGAGAATTTTGCTGGCTTGATTTCTAATCTTAAGATTTTGTCACCTGAAAGAGCTGATGATCAACATATAGATCATCTATATGTTGATGTAAATTGGTAAATAGATATGAATGTTTATTTATATTTGTTATATGGTTATATTTACAATTGTTACTCCATATTGATTCGTTTCTACCAGCTTAGCTCAGCCTTTCATGTGTATGTGAATTATCTGCTCTGCTCTGAGAGTTCAGGTGTTTATTAGCATTGTAGGCAGATTGATGGCAGCAGAACAGATTTTTGTTTAACCTACAAATTGCACTCTTCAGTGGAGAAGAAAATGACAGACTTCTCCTTAGTTGGATCTATTTTGTTTAGTGTTCAAAACTTGGCTGTTTTTCTGCTTTATATGTTTTTAGAGCTTGCACTTGATCAGTATCTTTCATGAAAATATGATATTTTCAGTTGTTTGAAAATACTTTTTTTTTTTCTGCTTTAGAAAGAGGGAGGAGGAAAAGAAGAGAGAAGTTTTGAATAATCCTGTTAAAATGAAGAAAATCAAAGAATTGGTAGGTGTATCTCAGTACTCCTTTACAGAGTCAAAGCCCAGAATACACTGAACCAAGGAGAAGATCATAGGTCAAAATTAGTATCGTTTAGGATAAGGAGCTGAGTTCTGTTTCCTGACTCTTTTATGGAAAACTAGAACAAATTCAGCTTTCTGTAATCCTGATATAATAGAACAAGGCTCCTTATCAGTCTCTTTACTGCTCCCTTCCTTCAGGTATCTCTACGGATCCAGCTGGTTATTTTTTGTTTGTTTTCAGGCTTTTTTTTTTTTTTTTTTTTTTTTTTTTTTAGCCAGTGATTAATTGTTGATTTAGTACTACAGAGTGATTGCAGACATAGGATTTGACATGCACTGATACCAAACTGACACTAGGGAAGACCCCATTAAGCTCTTTCGTTTTGGGAGAGAACCTTGTTAAATGGTTTAGGTTTTGTTCCAGGAGCCTTTCCACAGAGAACTCTGTTGCTTTGCCTTGTGATATTGACTGCACAAATGTGGAGACAGTAATTATTACTAATGAAATGGTGTTTTACTTTATAGCTGCAAAACAGTTTAGATAAAAAAGAGAAAAAGAAGAAGAAAGAGAAGAAGAAGAAGCACAAGAAACATCGGCGTCGCAGTTCTAGCAGTGAAAGTGACAGCAGTGATGAGGAGCGAAGCAAAAATAAGTACGTTTTGAGGGTTTATTGTAAAAATACCTTGTTTCCTGTTATCTGTTTTTCCTGTCTTTTTCAAAACCTTTCTTTGAGTCTTATCTTTCTGATTAACGCTCTGCCTCGGCCTAAATGTTTCTGCATTGTTACTTTATTGGTTTTGCATCATTAAATTATTTTTATGACCTTTTAATGTTAAAAAACGTTCTTGAATTTCATATGCTTCAAAAGTACTGTTCTGTTTTCTCTTTAGGTCTCAGAAGAGGACAAACAGTTCCTCCTGGAAACCTGCTCCTGCCAAAGTCCCAGGATATGGCTTACAAGTAAGTACATGGGTTTCGCACAGCTCTTTCAGTAGCAAGTGCCCCGAGTTAGGGAAGAGCAAGAGTTTTGACGGTTTGTTTGCGACTGCTTCACCGGGTAAAAGAGATTGTGAGGGGGACGTGATATAGTAAAGTTCAGATTCAACTTGGAGCCATCTAAGCCTTGAAACTAAATTTGTTCAGATCTCAGTAGGACTTTTGTCTGCTCTGAATTCAGGTTAAGTTTTATTTAGTTTCTCTTCAGAGTCACACATCAGGTCAAATACTCTGCTTGGCTGTGTTGGCAGTTTCATTTACTGAACATCATACAGAAATTATCTTTTCAGACATGGGTGTTAATAAGAACCTGGGAAGTAGAATAAGTAAACGCAAACCTTCCTGCATGCAGGCTAGGGTGAGGTCTCCTCTGTGGCCTTACGTTGTTGTTCTGCTCTGACAAGACATCTCTCCTGAAAAGATGCTTTTCAATTTCAGGTTAGGGACTCTGACCACAGGTCTCGGAGCTCTCCAGCTGCCGGCCAGGAGAGGGCCCCCCACAAGCACCGGGATCGCTCCAGGTCCAGGAGCCAGTCCCGCTCTCCTCAGAGACGCTCTAGCAAGAAGAATTCGGAACAGTCTGGATGCAGGGGGTCACGGTCTCCTTCTAGGCACAGCAAACAGTGAGTGTGGCTAACCTGGAAAATGTAAACCCAGAGCTGCTGGTGGGGGGAGTTCTCTAGAATCAAAATCTCTTTTATTGAGTCTCCTTCTGCCACTTCACTGTTCTGGCCACGTTATTGCTGTTTTGGGTGGAAAGGCAGGAGCTGCGTGGTTGTGTGAGAATGCAGAAGCACACAGGTTCGCTCCTGTCTGCAACTGCCCTCCTCATTTGGGACACTTTTCTAGGTGCAGCCTTTAGGTATTGCTTGTGACTGGGCTTTGTTTGGGCTACCAATTCTCTTTAAAGGGTATTTATAACTGCTGAATACTAAATTTACTAAATGCTGATAAAATCAGGTCCAGGTATTTATTGCTTGCCGATGAAATAATTAAAACTGAGTAAAAATATATGGAAATTTACAGTATATTAAGAGTCATGAGGATTGTTTTTGAAGTGGACAGGTAACAGTCCTGCAGTTCCAGGAGATGTCTTGGTTTTAGAATGGATGCAAAAAAAATCCAGGGAAAGTTTACAGGTGTGATGATGTACGTTCATCTGGCCTGATAAGGGTGTTTCTGGGTTACAGACATAGCAAGGAGGAGAAAGGGAGAGCTAGAAGCCCTTCCCCTAAAAAGAGCTATCGGCGACAGCATGCTCCGGGTTACACAAGGTAAGGAAGATCTTGTCCCTGTGCTTTTGGATGGAAGTTGCCCTGGTGATTGTGAAACAGCTGGGTGTAATCTGAACCAAATTTTATTCTGTTAACTAAAATAGATTGGATCAGATGTCCAGAAAGTCGGGCAGACAGTCCTAAAGTGCTTGTCTCGGTGTTCTTGAACTTGATTGTTAGTTAACGCCTTGGACAGCTTCCCAAAGCAGTTCACGTGGTTGCTGGTTGTCCGTGTGTCTTGCATCACTGTGCAAGGCTGTAATGCGAAGTCAGTCTTTGTTCCACGGACTGTTAATTAGAAGCATTCTGTTTCACTGTCATCAGGAAAATACGACCTCGACAGCATCATCTTACCAGTCAATTACAAACAAGAAGGCTGCAAAGAGGGAGAAAACAGACTCTTGCTAGGGTGTGGTGAAGCAGAACAGTTTGACATGTACCTACAAGCTTTGCTGATTGGTTACCAAATAAAAAAACATGTTAAACACCCCTAATTTTGGGGATTGTAAATCATCTTAAAGAATAGAAAGCAAGAGAGGGGTGGGGCCCAGCGTGCTATTGATTCACAGCAGTGGTGTTTTCTACACAAATAGAAAGATCTCTCCAGAGGAGCTAGAGCGTAAACGCCAGGAAATGATGGAAAATGCCAAGTGGCGGGAAGAGGAGAGAGCAAACAACCTCAGGAAACACCGAAAGGAGGAGGAGCTGGAGCGAGAGCTGGAGAAACTCCACTCCCGAGATGAGAAGTTCTTCCAGTGAGTGTCTTTATTTTCTTCTGTTTCATTCAAGGGAAATACAGGCCACAGCTTCTGAGGAGTGAGTGATGGCCTCAACATTTGAGATGGTTCAGATTATGGTATGAGGTCCACCTCTGCTGTGTTTTACAGTACAACTGGTGACATCTACTGTTCCCAAATTCTCTTCTTAACCCAAAAGATCGCTATTTCTCTGATGGCCTTGGTAGTCAGACTCACAAACCAGTAATCAGGGTTTTTTTGCCATCCTGTAGAAAGGCCTAGTAGTGTTTTACATGCAAATACTAAAAAGTTCTCTGGTTTTAGGAGCTCAGAACAGTTCTAGGCCTGCAAGTCCACCAGGAGTCTGTGTGCCAAGAGCTTGTGGGACTGAAACCTGTGCTCAACGAAAAAAAAAAAAGACCGTTTCTAATTTCTAAACCCACGTGATAACTTACAGTCCCCTCTGTACATGGCAGGCAAAGGAAACTGGAGTGGCGCAAGGTCTTCCAGAAGGTGCAGTGGAGTGTGAGAAAGATCCTGTGGCCAATGTGTATTTTGGAGTTGCTGCAGTGTATTGTTTTCCAGGCTCTATAAATTAATCAGAGGAGAATGTACGCTAATTCCTGAAGTTGCTGAAAGCTAGGATCACTCAAGGGTGGCTTAGAATCACAACAGTTACTCTCCATGAACAAAATCTCCTGTGGAGAGGGATTTTTGGGTGTTTCTCTGTGCAGAAGAAACTTGTTGAGCTGACAAACTGCGTTTATCGGTGTGGTGTTTGAAAAGGGAGATGGGCAGGAGGAGATCACTCGGAAAAGCACAGCAGTGTGATCTGAAGCCATAAAAGAAAGGGAGTGGTCACGGGGATCCCTTCTGTAGCTAACGTAGTCGTTTACAGCACAAGCTCTGGCATTCGGACTCCCAGAGGACTGTTGCCCTCAGTTCAGGAATGCATTGCTTTTCCCTCGTTTGCTTCACAGAAAGCACCCGAGTCCCCTGTGACGGATGCATTTGTAATTAGCGGTTATATTTGGAAGATGGGGGAGATTTGAGAGTTACTGAAGATATATTTCTGAGCACTGACCTTAAATAAGGCATTGACTCTTGTTACAAGCCAAACTAAGAGGTACTCAGTTCTTTCAGTGCAGATTTTAATAGGAAATAAATTGTTATTTTCTATGTTAGATTAATTTATGTAGATGACTTGGGGATGGTGAATCCTGTTAGAAATGGTGTAATGCTTGGAATGAGATTCTGATTTTTTTCTTTGGTTCAATTTTCTGCAGTCGCTTAAAACTAGAGAGTGCATCTACTTCCACCCTAGAAGATCGAGTGAAACGCAATATCCATTCCCTTCAGAGAACTCCCGCTGCCTTGGAAAAAAACTTTATGCAGAGATGAAACTTGGTTCTTCCTCTGCGCCCATGCGGAAGTTAAATGGACGCTTATTCCCAAAGGTGAGAGACCTCCAGCACAGACTCACTGCTCTCTCCAGGAACAGTTACCATCTCCCAAAGAGGTGCTGGATTTCTGTGCTGCAGCCCACGGCATGTTCTGGACTTCTGGTATTGTGAATACATTTGTAATGAGTATGACCTTGCAAGCAAACCTTTGCTGGAGCACTCGTGAGCCCTTGTATTCTATTTTTAACGTATTGCCAGATCTTTTCCTTCTCTCTCCACCTTGACTGGTATCATTTTTGTATATTGTTATTACCAGATTATGCCAGGTGGTAACTGCTTTCTACACTGGGCAGATTGTCCAAGTTTATTTGACAGAGCAAAAAAGATCTATTTTTGTTAGTCCTTAAATACCGGAACAAATTCACGTGTGAGTTAATTTCATGGAATTCGATAAAACTACACGAGTGGCAGATGGAAAACTGCTCAATGCCGTCACCGTTTCAGGTGTGGGTTTGGAGGATGGCGTTAGACAAGTCTGCAAAATATTTGTAGCCGTTATTTGGTTGCTCGCAGATTTGCACGGTGTTTGACCCAAAGGAAGCTGCTTTGAAGGGAAAGGAAATGAGCAGAGCATAGCTGATACAGCAAATATTTCTCTGGGATTTTGTAATGTAAGTAATGTGTATATGTACAGCAGTGTAGATTTTTTTTTCTTTTTTTTTTTTTTTGAAAAATTAAGAAACTTTACTGTCATTTTTAAATGTTCTTTGTGGCTTTTGGGGGGTGTGGGGGCAGGGGTAAGGCTCCCTGTCAAAGGGGAGGGTTCCTGGGCTCCCGGGAGGCTGTCACTGGCTGTAGCAGGCCCTTCGCGGGTCTGGCCCG